AGAAAATGCAAATAAGTGAAATAGAGAACATAATGGCTCTAACATGGTATAATCATTTATGAAAACTCAAGATCAATGGTCAATCAGAAAAGTGGCTTAAAGAACTTCATAGTTTTGTAACATGTACCAATTGACAATATCATTTATAATCAGCATTAGTTTCTGACACGATACAAACCTCAAGTTTGAAACATCTAGATTGTTCTGCTGCAAGCTGGCCTCGCACAGATTGAAGTTCCTGCAACATCATGTGATCTTATTCAGAAACAATTTTTCTGATAATAAGTTGGACTGCCCTAAATGGGCGGCACTTGTGCATAAAAGCTATCCTTATAAATCAGGCAGAAGAGCAAAACTTGTATATCCATAAAGAAACCATATTAATTACCACATCAAAATACATAAAGAAATAACAGAAGGGCCACCTTGTACAAGTCCGTGTTCCGAGTTTCTGCATCTGTCAACTCTTGCTTCAGTTTAAGGGTCTGCATCTTCTCTGCAGTGAGAGATGAGTCTAGTTGTTCCTTCTCTGCCTTAAGGGCTACTAAAAGCCTATCATTTGTCTCTTCAACGTCAGTAAACTGCAAAATACAGAAATACAACTTACAAATTTTTCGCTGTAACTCCAGGAGTGAAAAAATTATTCTATGTGGAGCCGCAAACATCCGTACAATTATGTCAGTCTTGCTCAATGAGAATAAGAAGATGGCCAACTATCGTGTTGTACTGTTAATGGACTTAAAGAAGGTATGTAATTGATCAATGTTCTCTAACGGCAAACGTAAATACAATACTTGCACTAATTTCAAAATTCAGTCATCCACAACATTCCTATTTGAGAATTTAACAAGACGTTAAATACGCAATTCTGAAGAGATCCACAAGAATAGTGATACAGTCATAGCTATTGATGAGGATTAGGAGTGGTACATAACGATTACCTTAGCTTCAGCATCAATATTGTCCATAACAATTTCCCTTATTTTTCCTTCTTGACCCGGTTCATTCTCAGATTCCACATCTCTGGTAGCATTAGTGACGTTTTGAACAGCAGATACATTATTAGGCACTACTGGCTCCATATTTGATTGCAAAGTTGATTTATGACTTGGTTTAAGTACATGGACCTGATGGCAGTAATCAAAGTTATCTTCAGGGATTGAGTGAACTGAAACCATTTCTCAGTCAAACAGAAACGAAATAGGGTATCCAGAGTCCAGACCTCATTGTTGTACCTCCCATTGTATCCACCGAAT